TATTACATTCTACAATGTGCAAATAAATATGACTTGATAATTTTCATTAGGTCCATACAAAGAGAAGAAATCGTTTGAAGCAGAAAACAATGAACGATGTTGTTTTTGTCATGACTAATTCAAAATTGGCAAAAAAGAAGAAAGCCAAGAGATCAAATCCGCTCAAACTAGAAGATCTTTCGTCAGATGATGAGTGGATTATGGAAGATGTTGGTGAAGACCCAGGAGGTGATGAAGTTGCTGCTGGCAATAACTCCACAGATGTTCCAACACAAAATGGAGAAGAAGAGGCTGCTGGCAATAACTCCAAGGATGTTCCAACACAAAATGGACAAGAAGAGGCTGCTGCAAATGTTCAACCTGAACATGAAGAGGAGTTGGATGTCACCAATTTGGATGAGGGAGACGAAGATGAAGATGAAGATGAAGATAAAGAACTTGAGGATTATGATTTTAGCATTGATAATTATGTTTTAGATGTTTAAGTATAAAGTTTTAGGTCATTTGTGATCCAACTTGAACTTGTGTTATGTTTTAATAAAATTTAATTAAAAAATTAAACGTATATATATATATATATATACATATATATATATATATATACACATACATATATATATATATATATATATATATGTATATATATATATATAGTAGGATCTTACGATCCGATTCACGATCTTACGATGTTACGATCTTCACTATGCTTATCGATCCTACGTAGAATCTAGAGTTTGACTACCTTGCTTCATTGACTATAGGTGCTCAATTTTATGTCTTTTGACAGACCAAAGTGGGCATCTTCTTCATTTGCTGCATCTGATGGATTGGTAACAGCCATGGCATATCGACTGCCTCATGTGGTACATCTGAATTAGTGATGTAGTCTATTTATCTGCGTCATCATTTCTATGTATGATGCATGTAAAATGGGAATCAGGATTCACAGTGGTTGTTTAAGTTATTTTAGTGCACCTTGTGCAGGCTCATCAAGTCATGGGGATGTCTCACCTCAAGAGCAAACACCGGCAAATAACCAGCCCCCTTTAAATATGGAAGAATTTGTTGACACTTTTTTTAGAGAAATGATGATTGCCTCAGATGTAGATGATGCTAAAGCCCGTGCTTCGCCGGCCCTTGAGGTTCTTGAGAAGTTCATTTGTATGCACACTTAAGTTGCTGCCGCCCAGAGTGCCCAACAGGTATTTTATTTTGTTAACATGTCTCACTTAGGGACTCCTCACTTCACTTTGTCATTGACACCTTTTAGGAACTATTCTCACATGATCACTTGCAATTTTTTTTTTAAATTTTAATCTTGGCTCTGCTTGGATTCTGTGCCGTAGTTCACTTCCAAGGGTGAACCCAGCTCTTACTTTAGTTTGTAATACTTTGGGTCCATTCAGAACTCACAAATTCCTAGGGTTTTTTTTATTGTGAGGAATATATAAGACTAATTAGAAGGTACTTCCTACATTCCAAAAAGATGTTCCCGTTTTTATTTTTAGGAAATTTAAGGGAGAGATATTTTTGTGTTGACTTTCCAAAAATATCCTCGATGTGATGGGTAAAAGTTGGATGTGATGTGTAAATTATTAGTAAAAAAGGTATGATGTGAAATTAAGGTTAAAAATTAATAGGGGTAAAAGTGGTTTTTAATACAAATGGAAAGAATATTGTAATTTATAACCAAGTGAATAAATAATCTTAATTTTATAAACTATACATAAATATATCACACTAAAATTAATTTTTAATTACAGCTTAAAATATTTTAACCTACTTTTACGCAAGTGAAAAATTAGAAATTGGAAAAGGTCAATGGGGGCATACAAAGTAAAAAACAAGAAGAAAATAAAATTATAAAAAGTAAATAGTACGGAGTAATTATTACTGTTATTTTTCTTTATCGACCTGACCTAATCACAAAATATTAGAACCCGAGTCAGAAAAAAAGTATTTGAACTCAACCCGGTAAAATGAAACCCGAACCTGGACTAAGCCAGGTTGGGTTTGGATATCAAAAGATTACAATCTGACCCGATCTTGATGCACGCACAATAATTCTTTAGTATAAGAAAGAAGTATGAAAGTATGCGAGAAAACAAAAAAAATTGTCATATGAGTGATAAGTTGTGTTGATCTTGGTACTAGTGTTAAGAGTTGGTTGAAAACTCATTGAAAGAAAATAGTACCTTTTTGATCATTTGATTTTAGTGCACATTCGATGGGTTACGAGTTACGGGGTACGTGACAAATATATTTGAAGTAACAAAAAAAAACTATTACATTTTTTGAGCATTGAGTAAGAATAAAAATCTCGCCCAAACATGACCGCAACCGATCCGTTTGGACCTGATACGGTACCAGAACCGAGAAAAAGAAAATTTGAACAATGCCCATCAAAATCAAACCCGAACTAAATTGGGTCGGGTTTGGATAGACTAAAACCCAAACCAAACATGACGCGTTGTCATTTCTGGCGAGGAGGTTTGGGAGGCGTAATGGCTTTTGATATAGCGGTGTCACAAACCAGGTGCCAATGTTATTTGAGCCCCCGAGTAATGTGTGTTGATTGCAAATACTATTTTTTTTATTAAAAAAAGATCAAAATATTCAAAGAAAGTTGAAAAAATGGTTGTCCATAAACATTATGATTGTGAATCCGAAATGCGATTTTATAAGTAATTTTGAGTGACATTAAAAAGAAGTGATGGAGATATAATGTGCTTAAAACTAAAGCTAATGTATGTTTATAGAGAAGATTGTGCTCTTTTGTTTTATTTGAGATGTCATGGGTGGGATAGATGAAAAGATGAGAGTACTTTGTTGAGCATTAGGAACAAATACCAAAAATGATGGCCCTATAATAATACTCCTCTGATCTCCAAAATGATAGCACCCCAATGAAGTGCTGTTTGCAGCATGTTTCACTTTCCATATGAGTAACGAAGAAAGAAAGAAAGAAAGAAAGAAAGAAAGAAGGAAAGAAAGAAGAAAGTTGAAGGAGAAAGAAGAAGAAGAAGAAGAAGAAGAAGAAGAAGAAGAAGAAGAAGAAGAAGAAGAAGAAGAAGAAAGTTGAAGAAGAAAGAAGAAGAAGAAGAAGAAGAAGAAGAAGAAAGTTGAAGAAGAAGAAAGTTGAAGAAGAAGAAGAAAGTTGAAGAAGAAGAAAGTTGAAGAAGAAGAAGAAGAAAGTTGAAGAAGAAGAAGAAGAAGAAGAAGAAGAAGAAGAAGAAGAAGAAGAAAGAAGAAGAAAGAAGAAGAAGAAGAAGAAAGTTGAAGAAGAAGAAAGTTGAAGAAGAAACCCTTTTCATTCCAACAAGCAATTTGACAAAACAGCATGCTGTCACTACATGACATAGTTAATAACAAACAAACAACAACATTATACTATCAGTAGTTATATGAGCAAAATGTCAGAAACTGCTGCAATACACTGTGGGAGCATCTCCCCACAAACCAATTTTTTCAAAAAATGAAAACATCCTTTTATCACTAACTCAAACTAAGAATGAAAGCATCCTGTTTTTCACTTACCAAAACTCACCTACCACAAACCAACAGCATTATACTATCAGTAGTTATATCAGCACCACCAGAGAGACCACCAACTCAGAGACATCATCTCTCCCAACTTCACACAGCAGAGCATTATAGTTCCACCACCCACAAAACATTTAGCATTTAAACAAAACAAAAACAGAACTGAATCATATTACTCACAAGTGTATCAGGAATTGGGTGCTGTTGCAGCAGATGATATTTTCCTCTCCCTTCTAGGTGCCGCCGGTCCCCAAATTCTGACACAGCCGTCATCACTCCCGGATGCCAACATTGTGGGCACCTTCGGGTTCCAAGTGACACTGAGAACATCATCCGTGTGCCCGGACAAAACCTCAACGGGTTCATGATACTCGCGGCTCCAAATATACACTTTCCCATTGAAGCTTCCACTCACAATGAATCTTGACAAAAAACCGCCAAAACATGGACTCATCACCCCTCCTCGACGACTCTCATGACACGTGTATCTCTTTACCTCCCTCATCTCCCGACTGATGTCCAATACAACCAGCTCAGCGACCAACTCCTGCTGGCTATTCAGGTTCACTAGCAACTCCCCACTTTCTTGTGACAAACAGATAGAGCGCAACACCCGTTTTCCTTTCAAATTTAGCTGCCTGTAACCAACCTCCGGGTCCCAAAGATCCCAGATCAATATCAAATCCGGTTCAAACCCACATATCAGATTCCTCCCATCAGCCGTAACTGCGTCCCCCCTCAGCACCCCCCACCTGTTCCTTCTCCAGTGCCTCACCCCTCCTTGCCTTCCATCATAAGAGTATATGTCTTCTGCACTCGCAAAGAACAGAATGTCCTCAGATGGCTTCCAGCATCCCAACCCCAGCAGAGGAGTTCTCCTTGACAGTGCAGCAACACTCTCCCGTGGAAACCTCCCACACTCTCCCCACTTCGTGATCACCAAACGTGGCCAGCAACATATCATCGCTGCTCCAACACGCAAAAACCACGCCGCCTTCGTGCCCTCTCAGCACATGTACTGGCTTAAAACCTTCATCCAAATTTACCTATTATTCACGCAACACCAATATAATTGTTTACAGTTAGAAGCAG